AATCTTGACGTCGCTTCACCGGCAGAGAGCTCGAAGACATCTTGAACACCGCGTGGACGGAAAACATGGACTTCAACCAGTGGCTGTGCTACGACGAGCAGATGGTGAAGACTGTGTCGAGGTACGCGCACTTCCTCATGAGACACCAGCCCAAGAAGCCCATCGCCGCAGCCGCAAGTGTGGTGCCTGACCCATGTGTTCCGCCTGCCCCCCGCCTGCCTGCCCCTTTTCGTGCGTGTCCAGCCTGCGCAAAGCTGGGCAGAAGGGGAAACCCATGGAGCTACAGCAGCCGTGGATGCGTAAGGATTACGTGGCCAACATGGGGGGAGTAGATACGGCCGACCAACAGAATGGTTCCCACGCCCATGACCACAAGGCGTGCACGAACTACTGGCGGCGAGTGATGGAGGCCAAGATTGAGCAGACGTTCACCAACATTTTCGTGATGTTCAAGGCTTTGGTAGCCTTCTGGGACGGTGAAGCGAAGGAGAGGCTCGAGAGAGGAGACCTAGACCTTGAGTCGTCGATGGAGTTGGAGGGAGTGGTGAAGGAGCTCCGCAGGTTGGCCAATCTTGAGAGGTCGGACTGGGACGAACAGATGTCGACGGAGCTCATGGGGAGGTGCGGTGTTGGTAGCCTCAACAAGGGGGGGAGACAGGTCAAAGATACGGAACCCCCGAAGGACGTTTGGGGGAGCGTTCACATTAAGACAAAACGCAAGTGCATGTACCCCGGATGCAAGAAAACGACAAGAAAAGGGTGTGCCTGCGAGGCGTTCTGCGGTGCAGGGCGGGAGGGGGGCGGGGGGGTTTTGATGTGCAAGGGATGCTTCGAGAACCCGGCGAGGCACGCTAGGGCCGCACGGGCTGAACGGGAGGCCTCGAAGTTCGGAAAAAGGACACGGAAGGATATGAACTGGTGCTCGTGACCGTTTTTTGTTGTTGTTGCGAGTGTTTCGGGCGGAGGAAACAGGGATCGACTCGTGTAAGGGTCCCTTGACATATTTTTTGGCAGGCAGACTGATCGTAGCGCATCATCTTCCCGTCCGTCATGAAAATGTTTTACTCCGTCGTTTACCTGTTGTGTCTTCCCGATAGCAGTGGTATTATAGTGTGGGGCGTTTGTGTTGTGTACTTGTTTACCACCCATCTGTATCATGTAGCGGTCGAAGTACGATCGTTTTCATCCTTGCGAGATAAAGTGCAAGTTACTGAATCACAATATTGTAGGTCTTTTATTCCGCGCTATTTCTGAAAGCGTGTGTCTTTAGAGTCTGAAGCGTCCTCCGGGATATGCGGTGAAGAGTGCTTGTCGGGCAACTGTTGGTGGGCGCCGGCGGTGTCACCTGCGGTAGTGAGTTTTTAGCCCCCCCCCCTTTAGCCCCCATTCGCTTGTAACTACTGTCAGTGTTGTTGCGATTAGCCACGGCTCGTGTATCGCTCGTTGTGTGTCGTTTTTAACCCGAAACCTATGTGGCAAGAGCCTTAGGTTTGGCGTCGGTATCCCGTGCTTTGGTCGACAGACATGTTCGCACGTAGACAAGGAATGGAGTACGAAGTGTACAAGGTTTGCAGATACCAAGGTTTGCAGATAAAATCGAAAGAAGTCTTCGGCATCTAGATAAACAACGTTTTCCTGGCACTTTAGTTTTTTCACTGCGTGCGGTGTAGTCTAGTCCTTTCGTGCGACAACGTCATACACACCACGTGCCGGTGGTGCTCACCAGTAGTTCAGAGACCGCAAACGGCATCGGAATCCAACCGTGTGCCAATGACAGACATTCCGGAGACCTTCATGCGATCAAGTCGTGAATACTTGCAAGATCATTTGTTCCATGTTTATTCCATTTCTTCATCTCGAAACCAAGGCGCTGATCTCTGCGAAAATGCAATACACATCTCCCGGCGAGTGCGCCTGCAACATGCGACGAAACATACGGAATTTTCAGATCACACCATTGCACCATCGGTTGTTCCACCGAGTTGTGCCTTGCAGCACTCTTTCTCCAAATAACCCCAGCGAATTGAACGACAAACCCAGCGAACTCAAAGTCATGCGGGGGCACGACGCCCTGCAAACTAGCCAAGCGCAAACCTTGAGGGTCTGCTCGAAACTCTTGTAAGTACGAAACCCTCTCCACCCCCCCACCCCACCCCTCAGGCTCCATGATCAGCCTAAAACACGCGCTCGAGAATCACGACAATGCCTCCGCAATGGCCGCTGGTATGGCTTCGTCTCCCGGCCACACCGCGCGGCACGCCTGCGTGAAGCAGTCCCTCCTCGTGATTTGAACGCCACGACCCCTCGCGTTGAGGCGGGTGCTCACGTCGAACGAAGCCTGCACGTTGCGGGGGAAAAAACGACGACGTAGGCTTGTTTTTTTAGAGCGTGCACTCCAGTCTTTCGTGGGAAAATGGAGAGCCAACAAACGTTACGTGGCATGCAGTATCTGTGAGAGACAGACGTTCACGCAATGGGGCGGCGCGTGCGTCTTTTTCTCCGTTCGGACTACTAACCGCCCGTTCGGATTACAAAACCTAACTTCGGACAAGACAGAAAATTATGCTCGGCCTCCCCAGTACATCGTTACCCCTACTACTGTCTAATGCGGGGAGTACAAAGCTGCGGGCTGCCAGCCTATTCGTACGAAATGGGAGAGTCTCCAACCTAACTGATACGGAAGATAACACCATATCTGTCTCAAAAGGGGAGTCGACGCGCTGGGCGCCGCTTGTCTTTCCAGAGCATTTGCTGAGCATTGCGGAGGTTCATAGGGATAGGGTTGCTGTAAACGCGTCTTTCAGGTCTCTCATCCCTCTTTCCTGTCTACTTCGTGTGGTGATATGATCTGTCTGGCAGCTGCATTGATCCGCAGGCTCGAAAAACACACGCACGTTAGTCCAGGTTGAAGTTTGTGGGCCTAGTGTACTGCTGTTGTAGCACTCTTACAAGCCACCATGTCAAACAAAGCTGAACGTGAAGCACACCTATAATACACGAGGTGCAACGCGCACAGCAGGTGCACAACCGATCTGGGTCAGCAGCCCATCATTTGTGGGGTTGCCAAATATCAATTGTACTATACTTACTTGATTCCTCAGACGCTTCGCTGTGACCTGCCCCCCCGAGCTCCTCTCGGCTGCCTTTGAGAAATCTACATCCCCGATCCAGCGGGAGTGGTGGTACCCGCAGAGTCCGGGGTGCTGCTGAGCTGCGGTCCTCCTTGCTGCCAGGTCCCTTATGTCTGGGAGGGGCTGGGGCTCGTTGTCCCCGTGGCAGCAGAACCGCTTCCCAACCGCCCTGGCTGCAGCAGATGTCGCCTCGGGCAGGAGCTGGGGTGTTGTGTCCGCGATGAGAACCAGCTCGTCCCACACAACTAGGGGAGCATTCACTGGGTCCCACTCAGCCGCTTTGGCCTCCCAGAACTGAGCGATGTCCTCTGGGTCCATGGTGGTGATGTTGGTACTGCTGTACTGCTGTTGTTGCTGCTGTTGTGCTGGCAGGCTGTGGCGGAGTGACAAAGTGTCAAAAAGAGACACCCGCCCCCGTGCCTTCGCGTTTTTGAGAGGGTTTTCGTGACTACAGGCACGATAGGAGGCATGATAAAACCTGTCTTTATCTGGTACGATAAAGCATGCTCTCGCTGTTGACTTGTGTGCCTTCTTCCTTGCCTTCGGAATGTGGTTGCAGAACTGAAGGCCAAGCTTACGAGGCCTCTCCCCGAGTTCTCCTGCGCGCGTGTGTGTTCGAGTGTATTCCTTGTCCGTCTTCAACCAACCGCCACCACAAGGCATAGTTTATCTCTCGCGCGGCTCGTGCTTGCTGCTGCTGCTGCGGCGGGCTGCTGCTGCTGCTGCTGGTGCTTTTTCATTTCGTTTCGCATGCATGCATCCAACAAACAAACCGCGTGCGTGTGTGCTTCTTGTCTCCGCTGGATTTACCACCCAACCAAGTGGCATTGGAGGCGGTGCCATGCCTTGCGCCAGTGTGCTGCATCGGCGGCGGGGTAGAACTGCTGTGCATGCGATGTATCTCTACTGCTGCTGCTGTATCCATGTAGACTATCACCATGTAATCGTGTTTGGGGTAAAGAAATACGGCGCCCTCTCCTCTCTCTCTCCTCCGGTTTCCGACAGCACCTACATACAGCAGTACAGCAGTCAGTGTAGTTATCGGTCACTCATCACATTCTTCACGTGAGGGTTACGCTGCTGTTGGGCACTAAACCTTTGTGGCACCATGGGGTGCGTGCGGTTGACCCATGTGGGAACCTGTTGGTGCGCAAACAAACGTGCAAACGTTCAAGTGCAGGTGTCGTGTGTGTGTGTCTCATGACTCATCGGTCTATTCGGTCCCGGCAGAACAAAAAAAAACGCGGAAGATCCAGAAAGAACCCAGTCACGAAAGGGTTACAGATACAAGCAAAGAAGAGACTGACCGACAGCTAAGAGGCTGGGTACCAATTTGCAAACACAAAGCAATCACAAGAGTGAAACGAATGCCAAACCCATGAGAGCAGCGAAAATCCCTGCTCTGATGATGTAGGTTCTCCGGACACTTGCGCCGCGCATTCTTTGCTAACACTTGCCTGGCGCGCTACATCTGACAACACGGTGTCTCTTTCGCGTGAAAAACGTTTCGCATGCAGCCAGCTTCTACAGGGCCACCGCTGAGAACGAGAAAGAAGCTCCGTGCCCCCCCCCCCCCCCACCAGACACTACTGCCGGACGAGGCATTCCGACAGGGTGCGGGACGGAACACGACCACAGGATCAAATCCCGATAGCGGTAGAACACATGCCACAAGTTTTTTACAAATCAGACTGCTATATTATAGCGCCAAACTACATGGCGTGCTAACCGATATTGGTCGCTCTCTGGAGAAAAGGTGCCAGGAACCTCTCGACCTTCCGAAATCGACAAAATAAAAGCATCCGCTGGAAAAATAAAGAACAAAGCCAACGGAGAAAAGTGACTTGGGGAGAAAAAGAGAGCAGATTGTTACGCCTGCGTTGCGGAGTTGCAGCAAGGCGTGCCGGAGCTGCCCGCGACTCCAGAGGCTTCCTTGGCGCCGTCCTTGAGCGCCGCTCGGCGCCTGCCGGCGGACAGCCGGAGGGTCACCAGGTGCCCCGCGGCGAGGCCCGAGATGATCATGATGAGGATCACGTACTCGTAGAGCATCACCAGCAGCTGTGATTATATGACGGTTGAGAAGGGGCAACGCACACATGGAAGAGGAGGGGAGCGAGATGGTTAGGATCAGGATCACATATATATTCGTGGAGCATCACCACGAAGTTGTCATGACGGGAAACATACACACGAAAAGACGTGGGAGACGTGGGGGGGGGGGGCGACGAGGTGGTTTTACGTGCGAGCATTAGTCTTTCCGCGAACCCACCAATAGAAACCCCTACAGAAGTAGCAGAATGTCCGAGAATGTCCGAGAATTTACCCGAATGCCCGACGTGTGTTTTTTGCGTCCTTTCCCCGTTCATCTATCGCCCGATACTATAATACCCACACGCATATTGTACAAGACAAACTTCTCCTCTACCACCAACGCGAAACTCACTCACTCACGCACACGCAAAGGCTAGCTTGGTCCCACACTTACCATGAGCATGTACGCCAGGAACATCTGCACGGCGAAAGCAAAAGTCGCCTTCACGTCCGATCCCACGCATACCCCCGAGGCCTTGGCCATCCTGTCGCGTCCGTACCTGCGGTTTTCAATTCCAGTCATGACATCATCACGGGGAGAAAAAAAGAAAAAAGGGGCCAGGTTGACAGAATAAGACGGGTTTGTGTGCTGGAAAGGAGCGCGGGCAAATGAAAAAATTATCAAAAATGTTCGACGATCTGTGAGCGTTTTTCGCTTCCCACCAGAAACATGTTAAATCAAGAAGTTTTTATGTCATCAACATCGGCCCCGGGTTCAACGTAGTCAATCGAACTACAGAGGGGGTCCCTGTTTTGTGCCGGTTGAACAGCAGTGCCGGCGCCCGGTATGGTGCCGGTTCGGTGTTATCGGCGGGCAAACACTCAATTTCCATGCCATTTGTCAGTACTTTGAATAGTGCCGGTTCGGTACAGTAGCGCCGGTGGATTTTCTGGGCCCAACTCCTATAGACAGCGACCCCCTCTGTATTGCGGGAAGGTGCGCTAGCCTAGGCTAGGCGCAGAGGCAGATACAGGCGGCGTTGGTGGGAGTCGAGTCGACAATGACCAGATTTTCAGGGTTTTGTACCAGACGGCAGCTAAGCGGCATCAACGGCGCAAAAAATCTCCGACCATGAAGATCCCGGCTCGTTCAAGGAGATTTCTCAAACAACCCGGCAGCGCAAGGAGCTAGTTGGCCCAGCCTACGCCTCGTGGCAGTGGTGCTGCTGAGTTCCATCCGCCCGGTTCTTGGCAGCTGAGCAGACATGAGGGTAACACCGACGCAACATTCTTCGGACACGAAAAGCCCCGCCCTTACAAGGGGATCCCTCAACTACCCACCAACATAGGAGAGTTTCTTGTCTGAGCCAACGCTTGGTGGTGTTGCTGCCCACTTCCATTCACCCGTGATTTTGGTAGCTAAGCGACAACAACGAAGCAATAAATCTCCGACCATGAAGAGCCCGGCTCTTTCAAGGAGATTTCTCAAACAACCCGGCAACGTAGGGAGCTAGTTGGCCCAGCCTACCCCTCGTGGTAGTGGCGCTGCCGAGTCCCATCCGCCCGGTTCTTGGCAGCTGAGGACAACAACGATGCAACACTCTTCGGACATGAGAAGCCTCGCCCTAACAAGGGGATGTCTCAAATAACCCAGCAACGTCAGGAGAAACAGCCTAGTGGTGGTGGTGGCGCTCACCGGATCATTTCATTGGCGAAGCCCATGCAGAAGGCCCCCAGTGCCGCGAAGGCGTATTTTGTCTTGGTGTCTACTCCGGCTCCCTCGAACAGGAAGAGGATGCACCGCACGCTCGCGCTGGTAGCTGCCTGTTACAAAAAATAGGGTTAGGGACACGGAAGATGGTCGTTTTGTAGGCATACGAATTGAGAGCCAGGTCGACGGGAGGGGGGGGGCATATGTTGCACTACGATTCGCTGAGCGTGGAGCCAGTATTATAAAATAAAAGTGTTCCCTTCAGAGGAATGTGTGACGTGACACCAAAAATCAAAATTGCTCATCGCATTACACCCCCTGGACCGATTTCATTTCAAAAGCTCGGTTCCTCGGCAGGAACAACAGCGGTGGCGGTGACGACTTTGTTGGCGTTGGAACGGTCTCGTCGAGAGCTTCCCGTATCGTTTGGTTTCGGCATCCTCCTCGTCGCGGAGAACTCGAGCTTCGGGCAAGAAGGGAGGGACTTCAACGGTCGAGACACCAAAACAGGTGATGGCAAGGGCGCAACACAAACAGGTGACGATGAGCCGCCCGGAGACAAAAGCCGGAAGCAGTACTCTGAAACCAAGATATTTGCGGGGACATCAGAGGAGGCTTGTAAAGTTGGTGGTGGTAGTGCAAATCGAGCTTCCAAAATCGGTCCAGGGGGTGCGTGGTATCTTGTGCAACCTATGCATATGGTGTTCAGGTGAACGTTACGATCTCCCCGCATCGGCCTTTGAGTTGAGAGTGACTTGAGGCTGTACTGGTAAACTTTTGCAAATTGTTTTCCCAGGCCCCGATTACTAGTGCTTCTGCGTGAGGGGATTTTCGACGACGGGAATAACATTACACGCCTCATCGTCATAAGCAGCACAAGCAGGAAGTGGCTAGGGTTCGGACGTATTTAATGCACACTTTGACGTTGGCCAAAATCGTATATTCGCGTTGTGACAGATCCTCTCAGACGGGGTGTGCCACTCTCAGGCGATCGCACTAAAGCAGCGGGGGTTGAGAGATACCCGTGCAAGCTTCACAACGTTCGGCGTTTTTTTACGGCTTGTACAACTTTGCAAAAATATGTACTCAACCCCTGCTGGCACTTTCGGTTGAGAGAATTTGCGACAAAGGGAACAGCATTTGTTCGGGTCGTCTCAGATTCTCCCAAGCAAAAGCGAAGGCGGGGGTTGGGAAATATGATGCAATTTTTCTAGCAGCCGAAAAAGAAGCCACCCCAACGACATGTCAGCGTGTCATCTGAATGCCGCAATATCGCTCTCTTCGCGTACCGCAGGTGACAGGACGTAAGATAGCACACCCCCTGGACCGCCGTTTCTGAGCTCCATTTCTCCGCGACAAAAAAGAGCATGTATGTATCGTCAAATTCAAATGGTACGGGAAGCTCGGAGGTATTTTTACCAATGCTGCCAGCCACTGTAGGTGACACTAGTGACCACACGCCGCCCTGGACCGATTTTTAAAGCGCAGTACACTTCAGCGAAGAAGAGGATCCCGATCTCAAGTGATCCGTTCTTTGGAACGATCTGGACGAGATGGTTCCAACGCCGACATCTGGCACCGCCGCTCTTTCCGGTGAGGAGGAATCGAGCTTCGAAATAATCGGTGCAGGGGGTGTGGTGTCTTCGGTCATATCACCAAGGATATGGGAAGCTTTCGAGATGGCGCGTGAGGAGAAATCGAGCTTTGACAATCGGTGCAGGGGGTGTGTTATCTTCGGTCATGTCACCAAGGATATGGGAAGCTTTCGAGATGGCGCGTGAGGAGAAATCGAGCTTTGACAATCGGTGCAGGGGGTGTGTTATCTTCGGTCATGTCACCAAGGATATGGGAAGCTTTCGAGATGGCGCGTGAGGAGGAATCGAGCTTTGACAATCGGTGCAGGGTGTGTGGTATCTTTGGTCATGCCACCAAGGATATGGGAAGCTTTCGAGATGGCGCGTGAGGAGAAATCGAGCTTTGACACTCGGTGCAGGGGGTGTGTTATCTTCGGTCATGTCACCAAGGATATGGGAAGCTTTCGAGATGGCACGTGAGGAGAAATCGAGCTTCGAAATAATCGGTGCAGGGGGTGTGTCATGTCACCAAGGATATGGGAAGCTTTTGAGATGGCACGTGAGGAGGAACCGAGCTTTGACAATCGGTGCAGGGGGTGTGGTATCTTCCGTCGTGTCACCAAGGATATGGGGAGCTTTCGACGAGATAGTTCCAACGCCGCCATTTCGGCACCGCCGCTCTGTGCGGTGGGGAGGAATCAAGCTTTGAAAACCTGTGCAGGGGGTGCGGTATCTTCTGTCATGCCACACCTACACGTTTACTCTGGTTGCGGTCGCTGTTGCGTGATGGGGTTGCTCATCATCGCCACGAGAGAGCACAATATGATTGGCCTTTTGATAGGCGGAATGCGTGGGTCTTCCGCACCTCGTAGAAAACTTCGTAAAACTGTCTGTACTGTACACGATTGTGTGTCTGTTGTTCTCTTTTAGTCCACTACTGTATGACGCATATTTAATTCGTACATTTGTTAAGTTTGGCGGACGGCATTATATGCATATTTCATTTGTACATTTTTCAAGTTTTGGGGACGGCATCATGCGTATTTAATTTGTGCCTTTTTTAGGTTTGGGGCACGGCATAACGAACGGATGCGATGATGTCCTTACTTCAAGGGGCGGCCACAGGCAGGTGGGAGAATCCTCGGCGCAGGTGACTGACTGCTAGATCGCACTCTCGGGCGTTCGGCAAGTTGGCACGACAAACCGTTCCGGTCTCCGCTCAGTACCTCCCATGTCCGAACTGGTTCACATGACGCGGAAGCCTTCCACCGTAACAGGCCGACATACCGCAGGTTTCATAACGTACGATACCACACCCTCCGGAACGATTTTCAAAGTTCCAATACTCCACGACGAAGAGGATGTTGACATAAAAGGACGCGATGTGAAAAAGCTACAAGCTCTCGACGAGACGGTTCCAACGCCGCCATTTTCGGCACCGTCACTGCCTTTCTGTCAAGTAATCTAGCGTTGAAAATCAGTCCGGGGTGTGTGATATCTTACATCATGCAACCTACGGTACGGGAATTTCTTCGTCAAACACGGGTGTGTCTGGCTGGGTGTGACACTATATGGGACGACCCGTAAAACGCTTAGACATGCCGCAGGAACCGTCGTATGGGAAAGTCTCAGGTGAGCTACAACGGTATGGGACGTCGCGTGGGACAGCCCAGGTGACCTGAAAGTGCCCCGTGTGTGTGTCCAAACACGAAGACATGCCGTAGATGACAAAAAGATATCATACCCGCTGGGCCGACTTTTAAAGGAGAGCTCGACTACCTGGTCGCCAGGGAGCGTGGCGTTGCCGAAAATGGCAGAGCGTTGGAACCGTATCACACCCCTTGAAGGACCGTTCATCAAAGCTCGATGTACGCCGCACTACTAATGAGTGGCGGTGCCGAAAATATTCGCTGCCGTTGGAAGAACATCGTCGACATCTTTCAGAGAAACGCATCACGTGAGATCAGCACATCCCTTCTTCGCCGAAGAGCAACCGAGCTTTGGAAATCGGTCCAGGGCGTGCGGTCACTGGTGTCACCTACAGTAGTTCTTCGCTGAAAAACATTCGAGCTTTGCAAATCGGTCGAGGGCGGGTGGTCGCTGGTGTCACCTCCGGTATGCACATCGGTAAAGCATACCTCCGGAAATTGAGTTATTGTGTTATACCGTAAGGTGGTCGACGAGGGAAATCGATGGCTGAACTCTTGTCGCGATGAAAACTAAGGCAAGCACCGCAGGGGGCAAGGTGGGGCAACAAAACAAACAAAAAACATGAAAAACGCTCCTGTCTGACCCTCCTCTTGCGTGACCCCGGCTGATATGTCAGCTATATATAACGCCGAAACGCCTGTAAAACGGCGCCAGAATAATTGTAGATGAGACGAAATACACACACGTTTAGAGGGGTTATGTGTTGTAAACCGCACTGAGGCTGACATCTTTTCATTGGTCAACCGTTTAGCGCGGTCGATGCAAAAAATAAAGACAGACACACCCACCCTAGGAGGCAGAGAGATGGCACCCCCCCCAGACCGACCTTCAAAGCTCGATTGCTCCAAATCCAGGGGAGCGCGGAAAGAGCCCGATACGTCTACGGAAAGTAAAAATTTCCACAACCACCATTATTGGTTTTGGCATAAGCGTGCTTGTGGAGCAATCGAGTTTTGTGGAGCAATCGAGCTTTGTAGAGAAACCGAGCTTTGTGGAGAAATCGAGCTTTGAAGTCGCTCTGGGGGAGGGTGCCCCAACTCTGCGCGCCTTTCGAAGTATTTTTAGATAAGTAAAAAGAGAGTCTGGACGGTCGGTGCGGTCCTGTGCAATTCTTGCGTGCTGGCACCAAGCCGCGGCCTTGATAAGGCGAAGGTGTTGTCATCTTTGTGAGGACAAGAACAAACAAAAGATCCACGATATCCTTGTGCTGGTCGCGAGTGGTGTTGCTGAGCACACACACACCAGTTTTACCAACGATGATGTACGCGCGTGTGCCGCGCGTGTGCCGGCAGAACCGAGTGTACTTGCAGGTTTTGGGACCACAGATGGCGCCCGCACTTAAGAACATCTTAATTTGCGTGAGGCTGGGGTTCTTAGTTGCCTGTTGAGGCTGCGAATGGCCATTATATAGGTTTTAGTGTGAGGTTCTTAACGGGGACCACTAAAATACGCTCATGTTCATGAGTTTTGGATTTTTTTAGCCTCATGTTCTTAACAGGTAGGTTCTTAAGTGCGGGCGCCATCTGCAATTGTTTTGAAAATATCGTCATGTTCGACGTATGGACACACAGACAGGAACACGGTATGCCAACTAAACTTCTGAATTCTTGCATTTGCACGTAGTGCAGCTCTTGGTTTCTCCTCTCTCTCGCTCGCTCGCTCTCTGCCGCCCTCTCTCGCTCTGAATTTTTTACCCTACAGAACGATTTTTTTTTTTCGCACATTTTTTTGTAATGTGGTTCGTCGTTCGTCGCTGAAAACCAGTGCTCATTATTATTATGGCGTTTCTGCCGCGTACAGCAAAGCTCAAAATGCATGCCTCACATGCCATCCATGTAGAAAAATCACTATTTTTTCCTTCACGAGGCATCATTTGCTTGAATGAAGCTGACCAATAAAATTCCGAGCGGAAGGAGGCTGATATCTGTCGTGTTGAGGTTCACGTGGGACCCCGCGACAACAAGAGGGCAAATAGCCAGAGATCACATGCAGCTCGTGATCGCATGTATGTAGGCACAGGCTTTGTTCGCGTAATTCGTCAGTCGAAGAGACCCAGAGTTCGAAATCAAGGCAGCCACCGATCCAAATATACCTTCGCTACAATAGCACCACCCATGCACCAATGTCTGTGCGTCAACGTGAACCACGGGCACAGACTATTTAGATCTTTGCTCTGTGTCACATGTCATTTCAGATTTTTCAGAGATGTGTTCGGCTCCCCTCCACGTATGCATATGGGGGGCGCTCTTTCTGCCGTACCATCACCACAACAACACACGAAATGAGAGAGCAAGGACGACAGAGGCATGCACCTATGTTTCCACACTCTCCCATGACACACACGCCAGGATACTAGATGACATACAAAATTGGTTTCCGTGATTGTGAGCCGAAGTCAAGAAGTTGCTGCTGGTCTGTTTGCCAGGTTTACGAGGAGCAAAATCTAACCTGAAATCCCATCAGCATGACCGTTCCATCCCCTTCGCAGAACTGGTCTCCCATGTCCGTCATGCTGCTGGCCATGCTGCTGGCGTCCGAGCTGTGGCTTCCGTGGTCGTGCGACATCCTGGCTGCGAGTGGTGCGACGTACTGCTGTGTGGGGAGAGAAGGGAAGGGGTCGTGCAACATGTGAGGTATGCGGGGTGCACAGCCCACGACCTCTCCGGCACCTGGGCACAGGTCCTGTGCAAAAAATCACAGGTTTGAGGACACTCTGAGTGCAACACACGCACACACGCCTCCTTCAAAATTGAAATCCGGTGATGGGGGGCCAAGCCATCCCCCCTCACCGAGGAAATCGCGGAAGGCGTTGTTTCTCGTGGAGCTTGGAGCCCTCCTTCCATTGGTCAGCGCGCGCAGTGCCAATCGCAAGGCTGCCCTTGCACAGGCGAAGTCTTTCGAATGCAGACTGCACCGCTTTGGGGGTGAGGATACCCAGTGGGGTTGTTGCTCTGCTCCTCTACTACTGCTGAGCCTAGCGTTACTTGTTCTTGCCAAAAGAAACAGAAAGGGCTGCTCTGCTTGGTGTGAAGAACTGCGTCTCAAAAAGAGACGCCCCGCGTTCTGGGAACCGTTCTTTTTTCAAGAGGATTTTCTTGCTGCCGAAAACAAGCAATTTCGTTGCGACGAGAGCAAAAAAAACTGATCTCCGCATCATGCAGGGTAGCAACGGAGACGGTGACGTGACGCCAGAAAAAAAGGGCAGCCCCTTCCACGCACAACACAGGGGTGCTGCTGTAGCAGCAAGGCGACTGACTGCTATCAGAAGTACGTAGCCGAAGCAGGTTGGTGAGTTGTGTGCCAACGTCACGTCAGGAGAGGAGGCCGAAAAAAGTGGAGACCAGCAGCAACTTCCAGCTCCTTTCCGCCAAAAATCTTTCAGCGCCCCGAGAACGTCCTTGTCGGAAGAAATTCCGGGCGACAGCGTGTCCCAACACATCACGGGGATTGATCGACGACCGACCTTGACCAGATCCAATCCGCGTTTTTAGGTGGGCAGCGTGAGAGCAGTGTGTGGCCCTGGGGCGGCTTGTTTGGCCTGCTGGAATCAATAGGCGAAACGCGCAGCCTCTGAGAACACTTTTTTTGGCTATAGTCTAGCGTTACGGCGAAATATCTTGGGCTATGTAGGCCTATGACACCCCCTGAGGGTGCGGTGATCATGCTCACCCTCTCGTCGTCTAGGTGTGGTACGCCGTACAGCGTACAGGCGCGGCGAGCGCGGACGAGTGCACACGGCTAGGGGCACCCAGATGCACAAAAAAAAAAACTGCTCAGACACGGTGCCCCTTCATATATATAGGGATTAGGATCGTCTTGTTTGATCCAGGAGTTAGTACGTATGGCGTTCGGGGGGGGGGGGGCACTTCGTAACCTCCCCCACCCAAAATCCTCCCAAATCCTCTGGAGGGATGACAGAGTCAACCCTCCGAGGGTTTTCAAATATTCTTGCTTCCCTACAGGGTATAACGAAATGTTGGCAGCCAACCCTCTCGAAAGGGACTTGAAAAAAACAATCTCTAGAGAGTATCATGTTCGTTCGTGTTCGTACCCTCTACAGGTTGGCGACGCCTCTAGAGAGTGGCCTAACTTAACCCTATTGAGGGCTATTTTTGATGTCCCTTAGAGGGTTGGCTACCAACAGTTATACCCACAAGGTTCCCCTTTGGGAGTTAGGTGGATTGCCTCCCGGGGGTGACGCAAGAGGACATGGGGAAAAGTTAATGCTATTGCACTGATGTGCGGTGGTAGTGCTCGTATCAATATGCTACATACATCCCATATATCATGGGACGGTGGGGGCGTGTATGGTTGACCAAAGTAGGGATATTCTGATGTGAATGTTTACAAGTGTTTTGCACAGACACGTGTTTTGCACAGGTAAAACTCTTGTTTTCATTATCCCGTCCCCCGTCGACCCTATGGTAGGTTTGTTGTGGGTTTTGCATTCCATTCCGAAATTCCCCGACGGCTAATCGGGAATGAATGCAAGGGGGTCCGGTCAATCCCCGGTTGTGACCCTTTCGTGGGTAAGCGGATGTTTGATTGTCTGCAGTTTCTGTGGCGTCCGCTGTATGAACCCAGTGACCTCTTCAAATTTCTCCCACCTTGTCTTCTGATTTGTTCTCATGAATTCTTCACATGACATTCATTCACCGTTCTTTTCGGTGGACCGTTTTTTTCATAAAATGAAATATCGCATACACTCCACACTCTTTTCTG